TCCTTGCAATCGATTCGATCTCTCGGCACGGCAGCTGAAACAATAGCAACGTCTCATAGCCCTCCCTCCCCACCGACCTCCTTCCCACGCAACCCAATAGAAATGAGTGCGTCACCGTGAGTCGTTTGGCAGGTCACGTGGTGATGGGGTCAAGTCTGGGTACTCCCAAACTCCAAGTCGGTATTGTAAGCGTGGAAAAGAAGGGCATATGCCTTCAAGAGGGATTCTCTAGAGCTCCCTCTCGTTGAGGCTCTACCGTCGGCAGTGGTGTGAACGTGCGATTGCAGGGCTGCGCCTCTACCCTGTACATCTTCAACACAACGGGAGAGTTGGGGCCACGTCTGCCAATTGAAAATAAGGTGATCTTTCTGAAATATGGAGGAGTGGAATAAAAGGTGCATACTTTATTATTATTATGACACGCTTTTATTTAACTCACTCTGTCTGTTATCGTTGTTGTTGTTGTATCCTCAAATCTTGTAACAAAATTTGAAACCACTTCCCAATGTGGTATCGACTGCAAACTTGCTATACTTATGTCATACTGATGACAATACTATATTCTATTATAAAAAGTAAAATAAAAAATTTTAACATTATTTTTTATATGTTATGTTTCGGCTTGGGTCTTATTGTCCACGCTCAACTGACGTTGGCTGTAATTGCCCACGGTCTCTTACGTTATGGCAAGCTTCGGGGCCACTTCCTGGAGTCGTGGAGTTCTTCCATCACTACAGCACATTCATGTTTACGATATGACGATCGATCTACTGCTGGATGGCTGCTATGAATCTCTACGCGATGTGCTACTTTGTTGAACTATCGTTTGTGGCCAGGTAGGTTCTGCATTAAAGCGTGTTTAAAAAAAAAAAGTTGTTTCAAATATATATTTTAAAAAATAGGTAAAGTTGCAGCCCCGATATTAACCTGCTCATAACACTGCTGACAGAAGCGGCTACTTGGCCTACTTCTCCACACTGACCAGAACTCTAGGAAGAATTGAGAGTACCCACACTTCACTCCATACCGCGTGCGAGCTGCTGACCAACGGCGGTGAACACATTTGTACTGCTGGGTAAACAGAGGCGGGGAAAATGTTAAAAAACGTGCACCATTGTTTTCAAATACCGAGTCAGCGCACCTCTGCATTGCAGTTGCAGTCTGCTCACCATTCACCGGTGTGTTGAAGAGCGAGCAATCTCCACACAATTTAACAATTGGGTACAGACGTTTCCCCGGTGGTTGCAACCGAGCTAATCTGGCAGTTGCCGAAATTGTGAAAGTGTCCTCCAGCCTTGAGCCCTCACTAGGTGCTGTGGTGTCATCAATATGCACGCCACCCAAAGGAGCTGGAAACAATCTTGTTCCATCAGCATGACACACAGACTTGATTACTTTTTCTTTTTCGGAAAACAACGCAGGCTCCTGGTGATGTAATTTTTTTTGTAATAAAACAAGAGCCCGGTTTAAGGTACAGACCGCATCGAGATGGTAGTGGGGTGGGGGTTTGTGTAGGTTACAAAACTCCGTGGACTGAGGCATCGGCCTCAATGCTCCTCCTGGGTCCTTAGATGGAGAGGAGGTTGGTCTCACTGCCCCACACACGTGGGGGGACTGCGAGCCGGGAGGAGATTGAGCTCACTGCCCCCAAACAGACGTGGCGACTACGACCGGGATTATTGGTTATTATATAGGAAAGGGAAAATCAGGCATAAGGGACGCGAGTAGGGGGGAGCTTACAAGGCTGGTGATCTCATTTAAAAATCAAACGTATTGGATCAAAAATAGGAGATTTACACCTGGTATTCTGAAATCGCTGATCAGATTCATGTTCATAGTTTAGATATACGTGACCTCGTGTTCTCTACCAAGGCTGAAGTGCAACCACAGGTGTCGCGGTGTAATCCTTGGCATTGCGCTAACCTTGGCAAATGCATCTGAGCAAAACTGACCACCCGCTCTTTGGGCATTGAACAGTGCTCAGGTCTATTGCCACACCTGAATCAAAGGTAATACATTCCCACACTCCTCTAGTAGTGGTAGATTGTCCATAGAACAGCCACTTTTGCCTTCCTAAAAAGTTGGGCTGAGTGGACCTTGACTGGGATTTGAACTCTCAACCTTCCACCTGTAAGTAGGCCCTCTGCCGCCGTGCGCTTTGACTGACTTGAACAGAATTAGGCCTCAGAATAGTAAATAGAACTTACTTTCAAATTCAATCTGCCAAAAATGTGTTTTGACTCCATCTGTGGATCAAAACTCGTTTAACTTGTATGACAATGCCAACTCCGATTAGCACGGTTGGCTACATATGGTGCAAACGAAGGTCAACATACATACGTGCCAGGGTATGTTTGAGGGTCAGGCGATGATAATGAGGAAGTTTCCGGATTCACGTGGTCTCCTGTGACTTAAAAGCCTCCTTCAAACGTAGCTTCACGTCGTTTTACAAACCGTCAAAATAACTGAAGTGCTGAATTAATTGAGCCAATTCCATATTAAAAGATAATGTTCCCTGCCGCTGTATTCTTTGCATTGAATCGAGTGAAATTAAATTCAATATAAATACTGTGGACCTGATTCCTTCCCATCGTTGACGTTCGTGCAAAGTTTGCCAGAGAGCAGGTGACAATTGCACCCCTCGCCCTCCCCCACCACCCGCCAGAAGATCGTGTTATTGATGATTACTGGAAAAAATACATTAAACATTTGCTTTGTTAATGTAGGAACCCGGTTTAAAAAAAAAACTCTTGATATTTCAGGACTACCCCCTTTTGAGAATTTTCTTCGGGATCTGCTTCCTCCAGCAACCGGCAGCTGCTTGCCGACGTTATGGGTTGCCGCTAAATTGGCCAAACATCGCCACCTATTGACCACCATAGCAAAGGTCACCCCGTCGCCCAAGTCTCGTTTCAGCCCGCCCGTCATCGGCATGCAAAGCCGGGCATCGCTGAGGTTGTCAACCATGAAGTACAAGAGACAACGGAGACTATCTCACAACATGTACGTTACACTTCTTTACCACCCTACGTAGCCAACCGTGTGGGGTGTGTGTGTGTGGGGAGGGGAACGACAACTGACTAAACAAACGTGCAAACTTGCCAGACGTCCTCCTCTCTACACCAAGGGAGTAGTGCCACCACTACCGGGCGTCGTTTCTCCGTGGCACCTCCTGACGTCCAGATCCGCGGCCAATCATCCCGCTGCGCATTCCCCGCAGCGTGCAACCGACCCCGACTTTTAAGAGGCGCTTTAAAGACCCTCCCCCCACCCACCCAACCACCGCTCTCGCCCGGATATCCAGCGACACTGAGCTTGACTGCGCTCACCAAAGCCGCGGTCGTGTATGTCCGTGAAATTTCGTGCGCCTTATAAATGACAATATTATTAAAAGCAGGACCTGTTCGAAGAATGTTCGAAGAAGACTTACAGAAGTTTGTGGGTTTTTTTATTAATGTGTTTAGTTTGTTTTGTTTTTCATCTCATCGCGGCGTGGCGAATTTTTCGTCCGCTTTCATCGAACGTCACGAGTTTGAATCCTGGAGCATAAACAGTCATGCGTGCTCCGGTCATCCTCGCAACAGCGGCTTTTGGTTGGCCGTCGGACAACGAAGGTCACTGCATCCATCGCGCGCTTTCAAAAGAGCTCCTGCGGCCCTCGGGAACGGTCTTTCTTCCGATATTAGGAAGCGTTGCACTTTAAAATCCAGATTGAAAACTCATTTCTTTAGAAATGCTTTTTGTGTTTAGTTTGTCGTCCTTCCCCGGCACCTCCGATTAGCACGGTTTGGCAACGTACAGTGGGAAATAAGTTCAACATACGCACACATACATATCTCCTGAATAAGATGATGATCCTGGGTGGGAAAAAACGGGGACAGGTGGCAACCTCGGGCATAACCGATGTGGCTGGAACCACTCCTGCAAGGTTGTGCAAGGTGTTAAATGACACACATGTCGGCACATTCATACGATTCCCATATTGACAAATCAAAGAGCAATATCTGGTGGCGCAAAAAAGAGTCAAGCTAAGACCTCGACAAAATGAAACGTACTTGCATTTGGAAGCATGTTTCTCCGTTGCATGCTGCAAATAGATAAATCCGTGGGAAGCAAGAACACGTGGCTTGCATTCGCATTGACAGTTCCCTGCACATTTAGTAGAAATGCTGTCTAAAAGGCAGAGTCTATGCAAGTTCAACCAATGGAACGAAAGTTACGTGCTCAAAACTTTGGACAACAACGAACCTATCCAAGGTCTCCTCACTGGATCCATGTTTATAATCTTTAAAGTTTCAAATGTGAAACACGTTATCAAAACAAGGCTGTTTCTGGTGTAGGCCAATCAGTTTCAAAGGCAATGCATCAATTATCAGAGCATAAATTTGTATTTAAAGCTTTCGTGACTGCAGGGATTCATATACTTGGTTCTTTCGGTAAAGTCACTTTTTTTGCATGTTCACCACCAGTACGTGTGGTTAATGTAGACTTGATTCCTTGAAAAAGGTTTCAGTTTGGTGTTTGAACATCTGAAGACCTCCTGTTATATTGCCAGAAAGGGTTCAACCTATTCTTATTTTTCATCAGTTACAGAAACAATATTTGTGGCATCCAAGGAGTGGAGTGGTGGTACAGTCGTGGGTGCAACGCGCTATGAACCCAGACAGTTCGATTTCTAACCACGGCTAACATCAGTGGCGAATGATATCAGAACCGGTCCTGCCCCCTCCCCCAACTCCCCTTCACAAACCCGCATTGACCAGTGTGGTGAAGTATGATTTAAAAAAAGTGACTGCCATTGCATTGGGAGACATTTATCAATCAGCGGTAATAGCAGGAATCATCACGCTCCTTCGGAGTGGGCAGGTAGGAACTTGGTTGGACAGCGCATTCGTGCACGACAGACACATATGCACGACAGACAGACAAATAATCCCTGGTGGGCAGTGTGGAACCTGTTGTTCCTACCTGTAATATCTCATTGTATCTGTGGCATGCAGCAGGTGACATCATTACGGAGCTGCACGTGCCGAGGCCTTGACGATTCAATGGAGCGTCCCTGGCTCGGCGCGTTGTGAAGATGTTTCGGGTGATCGCGCTTGCATGAGAGCAACCGGCCGAGTCCGCGTGTTCTCCACAAGGCCGTAATTATCTATATATATAAAATCGTTCATGTCTGTCTGTGTGTGTGTGTGTGTATTTCGGCCCATACGCACTTTCATTGGACGGCGGTTGCCCCTGGCAACGGCTAGCCACGCCTTCGCCGCTTTCATTGGACCTGGCAACGGCTAGCGACGCCTTCGCCAAGGGCTGCAGTTTCATTGGACGGCGGTTGCCCCTGCCAACGGCTAGCCACGCCTTCGCCACTTTCATAAGCTCCGTATTTAATTAAATAATAGCCATTACTCAGTATTGTTCGAGCGCTAGGTGGGGGGGGGGGGGGGACCGGCACCCATACCCAGCGTCAGCCGGGTGGGAAAATCAGGCGAGGCAGGAGGCTCTGCACGGTGCTAGGCCTCGACACCCACCACGTGAATCTAAGGTAAATTCATAAAAGTTTCACGTCTGTGTGTGTGTGTGTCTGTGCCGTTTTCACATCGGCACTGGGGAGACAAAGGCGGCCGGGCGTGGTGGATCCAAGTCCCGGGCGAAGCCGGGTCATGTCTATGTGTGTATGTGTTTATGTGTATGTCTGTGTGTCTCTATGTATTTGTGTATGTATGTGTGTGTATGTGTTTGTGTGTTTGTATGTGTGTGTGTATGTATGTCGGTTTTTTTATGTGTTTATGTGTATGTCTGCGTGTCTGTATGTGTGTATGTACGTGTGTGTATGTGTTTGTGTGTATGTATGTGTGTTTGTATGTATGTGTGTATGTGTTTCTGTGTATGTATGTGTGTGTATGTATGTGTGTTATGTGTCTGTCTGTGTGTATGCATGTATGTGTGTGTAGTAAGTATATGGAGGCTTGACGACAGGATCGGAGGCACACTTATTTATTACACCAACACAGTTATTTACAGGTCACTGGGCTACAGGGATTTCTCGACAGCTAACCCCTCTAACCTATACCAATTCCTCCACTACGGGACTAGGGGAGGCTATCTGTCCCAGCTTGGTTAAGCTGGGATCCCGGCTCCCTGAGTCACCAGACCAGCTTCGTCTGGGCTCTCGGGGCCACGCCACCGGCTTGCCCTGGTCGGCCCTTATAAGGACAGCGAGCCAGGGGAGCTCTGGGGCCTACACTAGCTGGTCTTCCGTCTTCTCTGGTTATAGCTGAGTCCCGACTCCCGAGCCTTTCGGCTCATCACCTTTTATAGGACTTGCCCCCAAGGGGGGGGGCCCGTGGGGGATACACATGCGGACGTCGGTGCGAGCGCCACCCTTGTGTACGGCCGTAACCCCGCCCCTTGTGTTTGTTGGCCATCCGTGGCCATGCATAATCACACCTCAACATTCGCAATTACACCTCTACATCACCCCCCCCTGTACAGCTCGCAGCCGTCCCCGGCTGCAAAAAAAAAATCAGAATAAAGGTGCATCCCTCACAAAAACCCCGTGTGTGCCTCGCGTAATTTTTAACAAGAACAAGAAAACTTCAACAAGAACAACGAGAGGAAGAGAGAGAGAGAAAAAAAAAATAACCCGACGCACCCCCCCCCCCGGATAACACCCCAAACCCAACATATATATACACTCCGGACGCCACCTTTCCCATCGTCCGCAAGGCCCCCCAACGGCCGACCTCACAACACCCCTCCCCTTTTGTCCGCAAGGCCCCCCAACGGCCGACCTCACAAAAGTCTGCGCGTTTTGGCGCGCGTTCTCGCGGCGGGTCCGTCACAAGGGCCCGTCCCGGCACGCTCAGTGACGGTTGTTGACGGTCCGGGTGCAAGAGGGTCAGGCTCCGCTGCCGAGTGACCCCCGACCCCTCCGGGAGGGGTTGGTGGGCGTGGGCCCGTCACTCCTGTTTCACCTGGGGGCGGGGGCGGAACAGTTGGCGTCAGGTTAGGCGAGTGCAGCGACGACGGGGAGTCGGCGACACCCTCACACGTTTGGCCATGCGTGTGTGTGTGTGAACCCCGGGGCGGCGTGACGAATGGTTTTAACCTTGAGGGGTGCACATACCACCGGCGCCTCCCCCATTTGACGCGAACACATTGCGGCCGCAAAACCTGCACGACCTCCACTGGCCCCCGCCACGGCCGTACCAATTTCGACGAGGTTGCCAGCGGCACCTGAGGACAGTGCAACCACGCCCTGTCCCCTGGTACCCATTTGACCACCTGCACCCGCCCCAACCGAAGCCTCTCGTTCGCCTTCTGGCGGAGTTCAGAATTTTGCACGGCCGCTTCCCGCGCCTCAGACAATTGAGCGATGTTAAATTTAACGTGTTCGGACAAATTAGACTTCGCCTGGAGCGCCGAGAGCTTCAGCTGGGTCGCCACAGGAGGGTTAACTTCGCGCCCATACATTAAAAAGAAAGGGGAAAATCCGGTGGCCGCATGGGGAGCCATTCTGTAGGCCTGCAACACACCGGCTATGCGGAGGTCCCAATCCGTCTGGGATACCGACACCTGCTGGGACAGCATGGACGTGATGGTCCGATGCAGCCGTTCCACCATTCCGTCAGTTTGTGGGTGATACGGAGAGGTCCGAACCTTCTCCGTACCCAAGAGGTCGCACACCTCACGTAGGAGTTTACCAGAAAAATTCCTACCCTGGTCAGTAAGCAGCCGTTCCGGAGCACCCTTGTCGAGGACATAGTCCTGGACAAAGGCCTCCGCGATGGCTGCTGCCGACTGGTTCGCCAGGGGCCAGGCCATAGGCCATCTCGTGAAGTATTCAACCCCCGTTAGTAAATACCTATTGCCCCTGGGTGTAGCGGGAAATGGGCCAAGTATGTCCAGAGCGACGAGCTCGTTAACCCTGGAAACTTTTATGGACTGCAGCGGAGGGTTGGACCCCCTAGCAGGTGGCTTCCTCTGCGCGCATTGCGTGCACGACCCCAAGAGGTCCCCCACGTCATTTTCCATGCCCGGCCAGAAGAAATCTAGCTGGAGCGTGGCAAAGGTCTTATGAACCCCCAAGTGCAGAAGCCGCTCATGAACAGCCCATACCACCTTACCCCTTAAAGCAGCAGGCACCACGAGCCGCTGGCGCCGGGTTTTACCATTCCAGTGCATCAAAAGTCCCTGGAACAACCCCCACGAGTCAACGTTTTCCACCCCCTGGCCAATCCCCCCGGCGCGACGGCGCAGAGCGAGGAGGGAGGTGTCCTCCATTTGGAGGCGACCCCATTCCGCGACTGACAACCCCAGCAACGAATCCCTCCCTTCTTGCTCGATAGGACCCGAAACCGAAGGTGCATCGGCAGCGGCCACGAGGACCGAATCGGTGGTGACGTTCGGAGACCTACAACGCCCCGAACCCAAGAGGCACGCGCACTCCGAAGTGGGTGGCAATCGCGACAGGGCGTCAGCGTTCGTGTGGCGGAGACCCTTACGATATGTGGTGACAAAGTCATAGTCTTGGAGAATCTCCAACCATCGAGACAACTTGCCCGATGGTTGTTGAACCCGCAGGGCGTATTGTAGGGCCGCATGATCTGTACGGACGGTGAACCGCCGACCGTACAGATACGGGCGGTACTGCTGAATGAAATAAACAATCGCCAATAATTCCCGACGGGTAACGCAGTACCGCTGTTCGGCTGGAGACAGTACCTGACTACCGTAAGCCACCACATGCTCTACGCCCCCAATGAGCTGGGACAGCACGCCCCCGATGCCCGTGTTACTTGCATCTGTATCGAGCAAGAAGGGTTGTGAAAAATCCGGGTAATTCAACGGCGGAGCCCCCACCAAAGCATTCCGGAGGGCGCGAAAAGAAGCCTCCTCCTCCGGCCCCCAATGAAACCTGACTCCCTTGGACGTCAAGGCATGCAAAGGTTTCGCAATCGTAGCGAAGTCAGCCACAAATCGCCGATAATACGACGCGAACCCAATGAAACTCCTGACCTCTCCCACAGAGGTGGGAGTCGGCCAGGAGCTGACGCATTCCGTTTTGGCGGGATCAGTGGATATCCCCGAGCGCCCAACAATGTGACCCAAATATCGCACCGATTCGCGGAGTAAATGGCACTTCTGTGGTTTAAATTTCAAATTGGCAGCCCGCATTTTGAGAAAAACAGCACGCAACCTCTGGAGGTGTTCCTCGAAGGATTTGCTAAAGACGATGACATCGTCTAAGTAAATCAAACACGAATCCCATTGCAACCCTGCCAAGACCAATTCCATTAACCGCTGAAAAGTTGCCGGCGCAGAATGTAAACCCATCGGCAAGCGGTTAAATTGGAAGAGACCCTGCGGTGTCCGAAAAGCAGTCTTGGGTTTTGATTCGTCATCCAGAGGAAGCTGCCAGAATCCAGATAGCAAATCGAGGGTGGAAAAGAATCGCGCCCCCGCCAAGGCATCGAGCGACTCATCCATTCGAGGAAGCGGGTACGCATCTGCCACAGAGATTTTGTTCAGACGCCGAAAGTCGACACAAAACCGCAGTGAGCCGTCGTGTTTTTTCACCAAAACGATCGGCGCGCCCCACGGGCTATTGGAAGGGGAAATGATATCGGCGGCTAGCATGTCATCAACAGCCGATTTGACATGATCCTTTTCGGCGGGACTCAACCGAAAGGGATTTTGGCGGATTGGCGCGCTGTCACCCGTGTCAATATGGTGTCGCAGCAATTTAGTACAACCAATATCAAATTTGTGTTGACTAAAAACGTCAGCAAATTCGCTCAGAAGAACTCGCAGCTGCGCGCGCTGCGAGTCGGACAGGTCCACTGAACCCGCGCAAAGCGCATCCAGCCAACCGTCATCACAGTCCGAATGCGGTCGCGACGGAGGATCGGTGGATACCTGACCCACGAGTGGTTCCTCATAGGGTACCGGCGTTGCGTGTGCAAGCACGGTCCCTTGAGGAACCACGGCCGTTCGCGATCCCACATTAAGGACTGCAATGAAGGGGTCCCCATCCCCTCTCACCATGGTCTGAGCCGCGAGCAAATCTGGTCCATTTACCCCGGCCCGAGATGGTCCCAACAAGACCCCCCGATCCGCAACCCCTTCATTAAACGGCCGACGCAACCTAAGAGGGACGAGCATCTGAGCCCCCGGAGGCACGCGCACAGTTTTTGTGACGAGCGCCTGCACGGTGGCAAACGCCCGACGCTCCGTGGTGGGGGAAGACAGAAATGTAACGCGTCGGCCCGATGGGAGCTCAATGCACCCTTGGTCAATAAGGATGCGGATGGGCATTTTGGCCAGAAAATCCGTCCCCAACAGGCACGGAACCGCGAGTGAGGAGGAAACCAAAACAGGCCCGGATAATTTAATGTCCCCAATGCAGATAGTGGCGCGGATTTGGCCAATAATGCCCAGAGAGCCCCCGTTAGCGGCATAGCACGGCACGTCAACAGGGAGCAAGGGACGACTTTGAACGGGAAGGATGTTATAATTAAATCAGATATAATGGTCGCCGATGCCCCTGTGTCAATTAAAATCCGCACCTCTACCCCATCAATGTGACCGACCACGACCGATGATCCCGCCGACGCAGCAACGACACGATGGGCGAGCTCCGACCACTGACCCGGTTGGAGCGCCCGCCGCATTACCGAACGATCGCGCGCGACGGATGGGGAATTTGGAGCCCTGTTTAGTTGGGCGCGTGAGTGTGTGTCGGATGTGTGCGTGGGCCAAACGTGTGAGGTGCCGCGACTCGCCGTATTTCTCTGCTGGAGCTTGGGAGGAGACGGCGTGGCGTCCTGACGAGGTGTCGCCCCGCGCTGACGGGGAGCCCGGCATCCTGACGCAACGTGGCCTTGCAGGCCACAGTTGTAGCAGCGTGTGAGCGCCCCCGATGTCCTGGGCTGCTCCTGGCGGCTCGGTCCATTCCGAGCCTGTGGTACTGCCGCTCTCCATTCCCCTCGCCGCTCCACCCCGCAGACCTCCTCCGATGGGAGGGCGGTAGCCGCCATGGCATGGCTGGCCGCCCCCTTTGCCGCCTTTCGACGAAGGGACCGCAAGCCCCCGTGGATGTGGCGCGCGACCAGCAGGGACGACATCTCTGAGTCGTCTTGAGCCAGGACGTTGACGTCCAGCTCATCAGCGAGTAGCAGCAGCTTCTCAGCCACCATGGCATCCACTCCTTCCTCGTCCATCCTTGGGAAAGCAGCCTTCGCTAGAGCCAGGAGAGCAGTCCGGAAGGCCAGAGGTGATTCGTTGGTGCCCCGACGCCGATCGTGGAAAAGCTGCCTGCAGTCCGAAGGCGGCCCATAGACGGCTGACAGCAGCTGCAACGCCAGGTGTAGGGTGGCGCGCTTTTCCCTCGGCGCCGAGGTGAGGGTAGCCAGGGCGTCGTTGTCCAGCATCGCTGGCAGCGCGCGTAGAGCCTCGGCGTCCGTCCAGTTCGCCATCTCCTGATGAGCGATGAACCGTCTCTTGAAGCCGCCCCAGTCTCCGTCTGCGCCTACGAATTCTTTCAGAGGCGGCAGACGCTGCTGCAAGGCGACGTCCGTGGCTGTAGATCGCTCTCCGTCGCTCCCCGCCGATGATACAGTGTGGGCGGGCTGTGCACATGGCATCGCCGGTCGTTCCGATGTTGACGCGCCGGCCGGTGTTGATGATGTCACGGCTTGTGCCCGGCGCTCAGCAGTCACGTGACGCGGGCCGGCCCCGCCGTCCGCTCGCACTGTAGAGATGGCGGGAAATTTAACCGCCAGCCGCGTCGGGGTGGCGGGAAACGTTGCCGCGCGCCGGCTGCTGTCGTCGACCCGCGCTGCCCCTCCAGCCCCCAGCCGCGTGATCTCCTCCAACGCAGCGGCGGCGGCATAGAGCAGTTCCGCCAGGCGGGAGTGGGCCAGCCGGAGTCCTTCAGCCGACGCATCCCCCCCCTCTTGTCGTAGCGGCACGGGCGTACTTGGCCCCGGCTGCTCCGATCCGACCCCGGCCATCTCTGGTGTTGAATCGGCCGCGGCGTCTTCCATCTCCGACTCCTTGGTACGTGTCGTCCCTCGTGTGTCCATCGTTTGGACGTTTTACTTCTGACACCAGATGTAGTAAGTATATGGAGGCTTGACGACAGGATCGGAGGCACACTTATTTATTACACCAACACAGTTATTTACAGGTCACTGGGCTACAGGGATTTCTCGACAGCTAACCCCTCTAACCTATACCAATTCCTCCACTACGGGACTAGGGGAGGCTATCTGTCCCAGCTTGGTTAAGCTGGGATCCCGGCTCCCTGAGTCACCAGACCAGCTTCGTCTGGGCTCTCGGGGCCACGCCACCGGCTTGCCCTGGTCGGCCCTTATAAGGACAGCGAGCCAGGGGAGCTCTGGGGCCTACACTAGCTGGTCTTCCGTCTTCTCTGGTTATAGCTGAGTCCCGACTCCCGAGCCTTTCGGCTCATCACCTTTTATAGGACTTGCGCCCAAGGGGGGGGGCCCGTGGGGGATACACATGCGGACGTCGGTGCGAGCGCCACCCTTGTGTACGGCCGTAACCCCGCCCCTTGTGTTTGTTGGCCATCCGTGGCCATGCATAATCACACCTCAACATTCGTAGACATGCGCAATTACACCTCTACATGTGTGTGTATTGTGTATGTGTGTGTGTATTGTGTATGTGTTTGTGTGTATGTGTGTGTTTGTGTGTATGTGTATGTCTCTGTGTATGTATGTGTGTGTATGTGTTTGTATGTGTGTGTATGTATGTGTGTGTATGTCTTTGTATGTGTTTGTGTGTTTACGCTCGCATTACACAAATGTGTTGCAGGTCTAAGGCGTTCCTCGCGCAGCATTTCCGCTTTATTATTTCAGTCGTTTACTGCCGTTAGCACCCTCACAGTCGTGTGTGTCTGCAGCAAGCGCGTGTATGTGTACCTATGGACGCGCGCGCGTGTGTTGTGTAGGGGGAACGGTAGTGTAGTGGTTAGCGTGCTGTCTGTGTCTGTGTGTGTGTGTCTGTGTGTGTGTGTCTGTGTGTGTGTCTGTGTGTGTGCGTGTGTGGTGTGTGGGGAGCGGTAGTGTAGTGGTTAGCGTGCTGTCTGTGTGTCTGTGTGTCTCTGTGTGTGTGTCTGTGTGTGTGTGTCTGTGTGTGTGTCTGTGTGTGTGCCTGTGTTGTGTAGGGGGAACGGTAGTGTAGTGCTTAGCGTGCTGCCTGTGTCTGTGTGTGTGTGTCTGTGTGTGTGTGTCTGTGTGTGTGTGTCTGTGTGTGTGTCTGTGTGTGTGTCTGTGTGTGTGCGCGTGTGTTGTGTAGGGGGAACGGTAGTGTAGTGCTTAGCGTGCTGCCTGTGTCTGTGTGTGTGTCTGTGTGTGTGTGTCTGTGTGTGTGTCTGTGTGTGTGCGTGTGTGGTGTGTAGGGAGAACGGTAGTGTAGTGCTTAGCGTGCTGCCTGTGTGTGTGTGTGTCTGTGTGTCTGTGTGTGTCTGTGTGTGTGTCTGTGTGTGTGTGTCTGTGTGTGTGTCTGTGTGTGTGCGTGTGTGGTGTGTAGGGGGAACGGTAGTGTAGTGCTTAGCGTGCTGCCTGTGTGTGTGTCTGTGTGTGTGTGTCTGTGTGTGTGTGTCTGTGTGTGTGTGTCTGTGTGTGTGTGTCTGTCTGTGTGTCTGTGTGTGTGTGTCTGTGTGTGTGCGCGTGTGTTGTGTAGGGGGAACGGTAGTGTAGTGGTTAGCGTGCTGTCTGTGTGTCTGTGTGTGTGTGTCTGTGTGTGTGTCTGTGTGTGTGCGCGTGTGTTGTGTAGGGGGAACGGTAGTGTAGTGCTTAGCGTGCTGCCTGTGTGTGTGTCTGTGTGTATGTGTCTGTGTGTGTGTGTCTGTGTGTGTGTCTGTGTGTGTGTGTGTGGTGTGTGGGGAGCGGTAGTGTAGTGGTTAGCGTGCTGTCTGTGTGTGTGTGTCTGTGTGTGTGTCTGTGTGTGTGTCTGTGTGTGTCTGTGTGTGTGTCTGTCTGTGTGTCTGTGTGTGTGTGTCTGTGTGTGTGTCTGTGTGTGTGCGCGTGTGTTGTGTAGGGGGAACGGTAGTGTAGTGCTTAGCGTGCTGCCTGTGTCTGTGTGTGTGTGTCTGTGTGTGTGCGTGTGTGGTGTGTAGGGGGAACGGTAGTGTAGTGCTTAGCGTGCTGCCTGTGTGTGTGTGTCTGTGTATCTGTGTGTGTGTGTCTGTGTGTGTGTGTCTGTGTGTGTGTGTCTGTGTGTGTGTGTCTGTGTGTGTGTGTCTGTGTGTTTGTGTCTGTGTGTGTGTGTCTGTGTGTGTGTCTGTGTGTGTCTGTGTGTGTGCGTGTGTGGTGTGTAGGGGGAACGGTAGTGTAGTGCTTAGCGTGCTGCCTGTGTGTGTGTCTGTGTGTGTGTGTCTGTGTGTGTGTGTCTGTGTGTGTGTCTGTGTGTGTGTCTGTGTGTGTGTGTGGTGTGTGGGGAGCGGTAGTGTAGTGGTTAGCGTGCTGTCTGTGTGTCTGCGTGTGTGTGTCTGTCTGTGTGTGTGTGTCTGTGTGTGTGTCTGTGTGTGTGCGTGTGTGGTGTGTGGGGAGCGGTAGTGTAGTGGTTAGCGTGCTGTCTGTGTGTCTGTGTGTCTGTCTGTATCTGTCTGTGTGTGTCTGCGTGTGTCTGTGTGTCTGTGTGTGTGTCTGTGCGTCTGTGTGTGTGAGGAGCGGTGGGTGTAGTGGTTAACGCTACGCTGCGCTACCAACCCGGCGAACCGAGTTCGATTCCCGCTCATGGCCACCACCGGTCAAGATTATTTGAACCTCCCATAGGTCGACTCAGCCTCAAACGAGTAACTGGTGTGGCGTATTAACATCGCCACTGGGGAGACAAAGGCGGCCGGCCGTGGTGGATACAAGTCCCGGGCGAAGCCGGGTAGTACAGCTAGTAATATATATTGGGGGGGGGGGGGGACACATCCCCCCCCCCCCCAATAATCAATTATGCTCAAAATGTCCCCCCCAATATATTGCTATAAAAAATATTTTTAAAATTATAATTGCGATGCTATGTAAATAAAAAGAACAATTTGTTAAACGTGGGCCACAAAATCTAGACTTGTCTTCATATAACAATGCATAGATTTATGTTCATATGATTGTGGTTATGGTTGTACTTTATGAATCCATAATCTCTGCTCAACATACAATGAAACAAGAAAAGGTAAAAAAGAAAAAACAGAGCAATGTAATACAATACACTATTAGACATTATTGTAAAAAATACATAAAAAGTCCATCCCATGTGTTAGTGAATTTTTTAATATTTTAGGCAGGAAATGAGTTTTCAAATTTAGATTTTTTTTTTCTTTCTGGGGGGGACCCCAGACCCCCTGGAAGATTTTGTCCCCCCCCAATGTTGACTCCATGGCTACGGCCTTGGTTCTCCACACTGTATTGTAAGGCAACAGTTAGGGGGGGTGGGTGCACCCTTATCATGGGATAGGTGTGTGTATGTGTGTATTTGGGACCATATTTGTGTAACTTTATTGACACTGGGCGTAAGTTTTGGGGTTGCCGACTTACTTTTCCGACCCAGACGCCTGTATATTTTGGAGTTTGCGTGTTCTGTCTCCCCGTGGTGGTCGCGTGGATTTGTATCTGGGTCCTCCGGTTTCCCCCTCCACCTTTTGAATCAACACGCGTTCAGAGGATTTGGCTGCTGCTACACATTTCCACGTGATAAGCCACTTCGTTGAGCTAACATTTGTGGCCAGGTCGCTTCTAAAAAAGAGCTACATAGCTCAATGGGCCTTACTTGGTAAAAAAATATATTGTTTATAGTTTAGTTTCTGGAGCGTCTTGTAGAGTAATTCGGAAAATGCGGTTACACGCTGCATCAACATACACACGCCGCAGAATTGACATCCTCGTTACGAAACAATCAACGTGCAGAATCGGCGCGTGAAACGCGAGTCCATAAAAATACGCATCAGCATGCTCCAGTATATTTAGATTGCTCTCCGTTCCAGCCCGAGGAATTCTCTTGGCAGAGAGTGCCAGATATGGAGAGAGGGTTGCGCGGCCGTGAGCCATGAAGTCCATCCGCGCGGGATCTCCAGGGAGAGTGATCAGACAGCCGCGTGCGCGAGCGAGCGAGCGAGCCGCGTGAGCACGAGGAGCGAGTGTTTGTCTCGGTACATCTCGGCCCCGTGTCCTAAAACACCGTACCACAATCGTGTCGCTTCGTCTCATCGCGGCGCGGTACATTTTAAGTCCGCTAGCTATACTTGAACCTGTCGAGTTTGAATTCTGGAGCAGAACCGGTCACGCGAACTCCGGTCGTCCTCGCAGCGGGCTGGCCATCGAACAAAGACGGTCACCACATCGCGCGCTTCTAGATGGGCTTCTGCGGCCGTCTGGAACGCTCTTCCTTCCAATATTAGGAAGCCACTAGAGCTATGCACTTTTAAATCTAGATTGAAACTCATTTCTGTAGAACTGCTTTTTATGTTAAGATGATTGTCCTTAACCCGCTGCCTCCGATTAGTACGGTTGGCTACGTACGGTGCAAAAGAATATCAACATACATATAACAATAATATACAACCGGCAGCGCAATTGC